CAGTGCCAGCGCCCGCATGCGCCACCCACACCCATTTCGGCACACCCCTCACACGCTTCGTGGCCCCATAGGGAGCTCCACCGAAGGCCCCAGTGCCCGCGCCCGCATGCGTCACCCACACCCATTTGGGCACACCCCTCACACGTTTCGTGGCTCCATAGGGAGCTCCACCGAAGGCCCCAGTGCCCGCGCCCGCATGCGTCAGCCACACCCATTTCGGCACACCCCTCACACGTTTCGTGGCTCCATAGGGAGCTCCACCGAAGGCCCCAGTGCCCGCGCCCACATGCGTCACCCACACCGATTTCGGCACACCCCTCACACGCTTCGTGGCCCCATAGGGAGCTCCACCGAAGGTCCCAGTGCCCGCGCCCGCATGCGTCACCCACGCCCATTTCGGCGCACCCCTCACACGTTTCGTGGCCCCATAGGGAGCTCCACCGAAGGCCCCAGTGGCGCGCTCACATGCGCATGCGTCCCGCACACCCATTTCGGCACATCCCTGACAGGTTTCGTGGCCCCATCATCCACCGGAGGCCCCAGTGGCGGCGCTCACATGCGTCACCCACACCCACCCAATTCGGCACACCCCTCACACGTTTCGTGGCCCCATAGGGAGCTCCACCGAAGGCCCAAGCGTCACCCACCCCTCTCACATGCGTCACACCCATCACAACAATCGTGGCACAAGGGTTTCGTGGCCCCATAGGGAGCTCCACCGAAGGCCCCAGCGGCCGCGCTCACATGCGTCCCCGCCACCCATCCCGGCACGCCCCTCACAACAACAGGTTTCGTGGCCCCATGGGGAGCTCCACCGAAGGCCCCAGTGCTGCCGCCCGCATGCGTCACCACCCGCACCCAATTCGGCACACCCCTCACACGTTTCGTGGCCCCATAGAGAGCTGCACCGAAGGCCCCAGTGGCGGCGCTCACATGCGTCCCCGCCACACATCCCAGTACACCCCTCACGCGCTTCGTGGCCCCATAGGGAGCTCCACCGAAGGCCCCAGTAGCGGCGCTTACATGCGTCTCCGCCACCCATCCCGGCCCCCCCCCCCCGCAGCAGCATCATGTTTCGGGGACCCATGGGGAGCTCCACTGGAGGCCCCAGTGGCGGCCCGCACACATGCGTTTCCGCCACCCATGTCGGCACGCCCCGCGCGTGTTTCATGTCCCCATAGGGAGCTTCGCCGAATGCCCCAGTGGCACCCATCTCGGCACACCCCTCACACGTTCCGTAATCCTCTGGGGAGTTCCATTGAAGATGAAACCCGCAGATGCGGTACTGACAACTGCATATGGTTGGGTTTTTCGCCAGGCTATTTTTTTTCTCCAGGCGCCCCCCCCCCCATAAAAAAAAAAACATAAAACACCGTTTTTTTTTTTTTTTTTTTTTTTTTTTTTTTTTTGTTTTTTTTTTTTTTCTGGGGGGGGGGGCGCCAGAAGAAAAGAAAAGGAATGCGACGTGACCACTTCTGCCCTCCCCCCTAGAAGGATTCCTATTGGACGCCCCCATAAGAAGGATTCACAGTAAAATCCTCGACAGAAGGGCTCCTATCGAAACCCTCCACTGAATGATTCCTACCGAAATCCTCCACATGTGGATTCGGATTCCTATTGAAACCCTCCACTGAATGATTCCTACTGAAATCCTCGAATGGCAATGGCAATGGCAATGGCAATGGCAATGGCAATGGTAATGGTAATGGTAATGGTAATGGTACTGGTAATGGTACTGGTAATGGTTACGGTAATGATAGTGGTAACGGGGTAGCGAGGCAATGACAATGGCAATGGCAACGGTAATGGTAATGGTAATGGCAATGGCAATGGCAATGGGAATGGCAATGACAATGGCAATGACAATGACAATGGTAATGGCCATGGCAATGGTAATGGTAATGGTAAGGGTAGAGGTAAAGGTAGAGTTAAAGGTAATGGTAATGGTAATGGTAATGGTAATGGTAATGGTAATGGTACTGGCAATGGCAGTGGTAATGGTGATGGTAATGGTAATGGGAATGGAAGTGGGAATGGGAACGGGAACGGGAATGGAAATGATAGTGGTAGTGGTAATGGTAATGGCACTGGTAATGGTAATGGTAATGGTAATGGTTATGGAAATTGTAATAGTATTGGGAATGGGAATGAGAATGGGAGTTCTAATGGTAATGGCAGCGGTAGTATCATGGTAATGGGAATGGGAGTGGAAATGGTACTGGCAATGGTAATGGTAGTGACGAATGGCAATGGCAATGGTGATGGTAATGGTAATGGTAATGACAGAGGTAATGGTAATGGTACTGGTGATGGTAACGGTAATGGTAATGGTAAGGGGGTAGCGATTGGCAATGGCAATGACAATGGCAACGGTAATGGTAATGACAATGGCAATGAGATTGGCAATGGCAATGACAATGATAATGGCCATGGCAATGGCAACGGCAATGGTAAGTGTAATGATAATGGCAATGGTAATGGGAATGGGAACGGGAATGGGAAGGTGAATGGGAATAGGAACGGGAACGGGAATGGAAATGGTAGTGGTAGTGGTAACGGAAATGGGAATGATAAGGGTAAGGGTAAAGGTAGAGGTAAAGGTAATGGTAATGGAAATGATAGTGATAATGGTAATGGTAATGGTAATGGTATGATAATGGGAATGGCAATGGAAATGGTACTGGCAATGGTAATGGTAGTGGCTAATGGCAATGGCAATGGCAATGCGAATGGTAATGGTAATGACAGAGGTAATGGTAATGGTACTGGTAATGGTAACGGTAATGATAGTGGTAACGGGGTGGCGACTGGCAATGGCAATGACAATGACAACGGCAACGGTAATGGCAATGGCAATGGCAATGGCAATGGCAATGGGAATGGCAATGGCAATGGTAATGGCCATGGCAATGGCAATGGCAATGGTAATGGTAATGGCAATGGTAATGTGAATGGGAATGGGAACGGGCATGGGAATGTGAATGGGAATGTGAACGGGCATGGAAATGGCAGTGGTAGTGGTAACGGAAATGGGAATGGTAAGGGTAAGGGTAAATGTAAAGGTAGAGGTAAAGGTAATGGGAATGGTAATGGCAATGGCAGTTGTAATGGTAATGGTAGTGGTAATGGTATTGGGAATGGGAATGTGAATCGGAATGGTAATGGTACTGGCAACGGTAATGGTAGTGGCGAAGGGCAATGGCAATGGCAATGGTAATGGTAATGGTGGCAATGGCAATGGTAATGGTAATGGTAGTGGCGAATGGCAATGGTAATGGTAGTGGCGAGTGGCAATGGCAATGGCAATGGTAATGGTAATGGCAATGACAGTGGTAATGATAATGGTACTGGGAATGGTAATGGTGACGATAACGGTAATGGTAATGGTTATGGCAATGGTAACGGGGTAGCGATTGGCAATGGTAATGGGAATGGCAACGGCAACGGCAATGGCAATAGCAATGGCCATGGCAATGGTAATGGTCATGGTCATGGTAATGGTAATGGTAATGGTAATGGTAATGGTAATGGTAATGGTATTGGTAATGGGAATGGGAATGGGAATGGGAATGGGAATGGGAATCGTAGTGGTAATTGGAACGGGAACGGGAATGGAAATGGTAGTGGTAGTGGGAAAGATAATGGCAATGGTAATGGAAATGGGACTGGTAACGGTAATGGTAATGGCAATGATGATGGGAATGGGAATTGTAATGGTGATGGTAGCGGTAATGGTAATGGTAATGGCAATTGTGTTGGTAATGCTAATGATAATGGCAATGGTAATGGTGGTGGCGAATGGTAATGGTAATGGGAATGGTAATGGTAACGGTAACGGTAATGGTAACGGGGTGGCGACTGGCAATGGCAATACCATGGCAATGGCAACGGAATTGGCAATGGCAATGGCAATGATAATGGCAATTGTAATGGCAATGGTAATGGCACTGGCAATTGTAATGGCAATGATAATGGTAATGGTAATGGTACAGGTAAAGGTAAAGATAAAGGTAAAGGTAATGGTAATGGTAACGGTAATGTGAATGGGAATGGGAATTGGGATGGGAATGATAATGGTAATGGTATTGGGAATGGGAATGGAATGGGAATGGGAGTGGGAGAGATTGAGAGAGAGAGAGAGAGAAAACGAGAAAGGAAACATCAGCATAATGATGAGGAACAAAGTGAAATATCGTACATTTTCGTCTAAAACCCACAGCGACTCCACAATATCCCGGCCTCTCCTCCTCCCCCTCCCTTCCTCCCTCCTCCTCCTCCTCCTCCCTTCCTCCTCGTCGTCCTCCTCCTCCTCCTCCTCCTCCTCCTCCTCTCCCTCCCCTCCCTCCTCCTCTTCCTCCTCCTCCTCCCCCTCCTCCTGCTCGTCCTACTCCTCCTTCTCCTTCTCCTCCTCCTTCTCCTCCTTCTCGCTTCCTTCTCCTCCTCCTCCTCGTCCTCCCTGGCGCGAGTTCGCTTCCGATTTCGCCTCTTGGGCGGGCGCGCTGTGATCCAGAGAGACTGTCTTTCCTGCCCCACGAGGGCCTGTCAGACAGGACTTCGCTGCTTCACTGCTTCCGCCCTCCTCATCGCCCCGCTCCATGGCACGTGCAGGCGGCCGGAGGGGAACCTCGAGGGTGAGGTGCTCGTCGCAGCAAGGGCTCAGCACGTAAATGGTCGGTTGGGCCGCGCCAGAGAAGGCAACCGGGCGTCGCGCAAGGCGCTGCGTGATGCGAGTGGTCAGGCTGCGCAGACCCTGCTTTGCGTTGCATCTTCGTGGGACCTCGCCTGTCCCCAAGATTGGTGTCTTCTCTTTTGCCCTGCGCGGTCTCGATGCGGACTCGACGCGGAGTTGGCGTGGATTCGACGCGGATTCGACGCGGGTTCGACTCGGATCCGACGAGGCCGACATGGATTCGACACGGAGTCGACGCGGACGGAGCCGCGACGGGACAGACAAGGTCAACACGACCTACCTCCTCCTTCTCTCGCAGCCCCCCATCGAGGACCAGCGCCGGCGGGCCTTCCTGAGCGCCGGCTTCCGTGCGGAGAGCCCGGGGCCCGAGTTCCCGCTCTCGTGGCAGGACGCCGCCTTTTCTGTTTTGGCTGGCTTTGTCAGGAGGCCGAGGGCGTGCCGAGGACTGAAGGAGCGGACGAGGGGAAGGGGGAGGGGGATAAGATGAGATGGGAGCGGTCGCGAACTCCGAGTTTCTTTGTAAGCGTCGTGGGGGCGTCACCCCCGCCGACAGCCCCACATCGACCCCCATCGCGGGCAGCCACCCCGTGCCGACCCACGTCGCAGCGCGACGACGAGCCGAGGTTAACCCCCGTCGGGGGGGTACCCCCCCGCGCTTCTTAAGAAACCCAGAGTAAGCCCTGACCGCCTTCTCAGCCTTGCTGAGCACCTTCTGCCAAAGATCTTTCTAAAACGAGGGGGTACTCCCCGCCTGTGGCCGTGATGGGCAGGGAGGGACCAGCCGACTTCCTCAATCGGGTCTGGCCGATAGACCAACAGCTGCCACAAAACCAGAGCCACAAGGATTCGTGATATCTCATGTTATGAGAACAGTGGTCCACTCCCCCCGCGAGATGTGAAGCCCGACCCACATGTAAACTGGAAACTTAATTTGCGGTGTGCTCGAGAAGAAAGCTAAGGGTCATGAACCAGTTTGTGAGATCGGCCTGAGTGGCGGACGCTTTATAGGCAGTGCATTTTTGCCACAGCGAGCCACCGCATGACTGGAACAACAAAGAGTTTTTGCCACAGCACGAGGATCCGGGATGGCAGGAGCCTCAGATTTCTTTTTCTTCTTGTCTCCATCAACAACAGTCAGCATCGAACTTCGAAAACATCTAATGCAGATCAGCCTGGCATCATTCTCAGCCTGATTTACCCGTTTACGTTGCTGCTCAGGCACCCGTGCCGTCTTCGCCGCGATGGCCTCGAGGGTGTCAGCGTAATTATACGTTGCCAGCCAACATTCAAGACGGAATCTGACGGTCTACAACCTCGTGGTCTTCCACGTGTAAAGGCACCTTGAGAACGACAATTTCGGCGAAGTCACGCTTGTGAAAGTGGCCTCAGATCGTTCTTCATGTGTCGGCATGGCTCCCTCAGGATGCTCGAACGCCCTTGTCCAACACCCTTGATCGACCTCCTCGTTGTGTGTGACATACATCGTGGGGTTAGGCGACCACCGTTTACACACCTCTAGCGTGTACAACTCGTCTCTCGCAACCATCTACGCAAGGACCACGTATAACTATCTCGTACACGTCGGTCACGTTGACGCGGACCATACACGCAAGGACAGGTAGGGAACACATCATCCGAAATAACAACAGCGACCAACCCAACTGGACGGAGTCGTGGATCGTGGGTGTCCGCTCCCCCTATATGTATGACCATGAACGATCAATGGCGTGTCCATTGATCCAGAAACGAAGAGGAAGAAGTTGCCACCACGATATTGTCCCGTGCCTTTCTACTCCTCGCATTGTGCCGGCCTCTCTACTTTCGTCTTATCTGCACGGATGAGCCCCCGAAACCAAGAAGATTATGCTCAACTGACTTGGACCACCGCTCTATGGCACTTAGCTTCTGTCATGAAACGGGGATCCCATGCTCCATTCGCAGTGACAATATTTGAGGAGGGGTATCCCTCACACTGGCTAGGGACACCGTGCTCGCACACCTGAACAATCATAACTGCAATCCTTCGTTTCGGCTCCGTCCACGAACTTCCGACGGCAATCAACATGAGCATCTTAACCAGTCGTCGGCCTTGAGGAGGGCTCTCGATTTGAATGATCTGCTTACTTAGAGTGTAGTTGTCGAGATGGGCTTCCATGCCGCGACCGCAGAACACCTTGGATGCGTCATCCCACAGCTGTTGATGGAAGGTAACGCGAAGGCTTTTGATCACCTCCTTGGCTTTTCCGATGGACTCGAGCTGCTTGGCATCGGACTTCCGCCCGGGAACCACACCGCTGAATCAGCATGGTTGGTGGGCAAATATACAATACAGCTGGACCCACTGGGTCAAAGCTACCTGCAGTGAGTACTAAACTAACCCCGAAACTGGTCCACGACCGTTTCTCGCCTTGTGACCGGGCTCGACTTGCTCGAGTTCATCAACGATGATCTGTCAGACCTTGCCGACAGGATGTCGTATCCTCGGCTCCGCTATCCACGTATGAAGCCACTGTCCGAGAAATTGGCGTGGGAGATGGTTTCCAGGGCCCCATTGCGGAGCACGCGTATCAGGCAACGTCGTGAGGTCCCTCCAGTGCTTGTTTCCTCCCACAGCTGCACCGAGACGATGATGGAGTTCTTGGATCGACGACCTCGGCAGACCATGCACTAGATGCCCATAGTTGGTTGCCATCTGAGCTCCTCCCATCTCCGCCTTCTTACGAATACGAAAGCGTCGGGAAGCTACAGCAAGTCTCTTGATCTTGAGATGATGCACCTTGGACTTGGTCGTCCTCGCGGTCCGAGCCTGACGTGCCAGTCGGTTGCCTTTCCCAAGGTCAGCCCTCGGGTACGTGGACTGCCCGCCCCGCTGGATCTGCGCCCCCCGCCGGCGGAGGCGGTCGACCAGGGCCTTGGCGTCAGAGGCGCTCGTGCGCGGGATGGCGCTCTTGGCCGCCGTCCTCGGAGACTGCTCCCCGAGCAACTCCCGAGGGGTCCTCGCGCTCCTCTCCAGGACCTTGGGTGAGTGGAGGCGACCTGCGAGAGATGGTCTACCCGCGACCGTTTCAACGCGGACGGGTGGCAAGTAGTGAGGCGAGTCGTGGCCGCGTGCGTCATGCAATTTGCGAACCGAGTCCCGCTCCTCAGCCATTGGATGATTGATGTGGGTGCCTGGAAAGGACGTGGGGCCACGTCGCCTCGGGCCAAGGGTCGCGGCCCTGCGCGGACTCGAAATTCCAGGCGCCGCGTGGTGGCGAGGACACCGTGCCCCAGGGCTCGATGCATTGGAATGGGCCATTGGGTCTCGTCGTAGGGCACTTGGTATCTGAAACAGTGTGGCCGAGGGGGAATGCCCCCAATCGAAGATGAAGCTCTTCGTCCAGGGCCCGCGCGCGCGCCTCAGACCAAGCTTGAGTCGGGCCTGTCCCTCTGCAGGGGGAAGATTCAAAAACAGTCAAAAAGTAGTCAGGGGACTATTTTACGAATATGTTTGTGCACCTTTTGAACGTTTTGTGAGCATTCTTTTTTTTTCGTCCAGAATCCCCCTGTAGGGGGACAGGCCCGACCTGAGACGACGCCGAATTTCCAGAGACCGCTTCATCCCGGTGCGCCCGGCTGGCGTTGCTCCACTCCTCGGCGTGCTCCCCGCGGGCGAGAGGCCCCGCGCCTCGCGGAGAGCGCAGGCCAGCCCAGCAGCTCGCTCTCCGGGCGATCCCCTCGGAAGAAGTCCGCCTGGCCCGCCGACCGGCTGCCGCGGCCGCGTGCCGCCGTGCTCCATCGCGTCGGACAGCGTCGCGAGCTCGAGGGCCTCCTGCGGCGGCGTGCCGAGGCCGACGGGGCAGGGTCGATCCACCCCGCGCCCCGGCCTCGCCCGCTCTCCCTTGGTGGCAGCCCGAGCCTCCTCTCCGGACAAGCGGAGCAGGTTCTTCAGCTGTTCGCTGCCGCATCGCAGAAACCATTCTCTGAACCAGCTCCGAGGAGGAGGAGGAGGAGGAGGAGGAGGAGGAGGAGGAGGAGGAGGAGGAGGAGGAGCTCCTCCTGGGCCTGCCCTGCCCGCTCGGGGCCAGGCTGCGCCCTGGGCCCCAGACTCGCGAGGGGGCCACAGACGAGTCACGCCCGGAGAAGATCGCTCGGTCATCCGCTTCGTGGCGCCCCATTCTTTCTGCCAGTGCAACGCCGACGGATGAGACCGACAGGATGAAAGGCTGCTGCCGGACGCGCGGTCGTCGAACTCCGTGCCAGAGCCAGGCTGGCCTTTGGTGGCGCGGAGCAGCTGGCCGGTGAGCAACGATCCCACTTCTTGAGGTCGTGCAGTGGGGTGTTGACAGCCTTGGCGCGCGCGCTTGCTCTTCGCGGCTGCCTCGAGCTCCTCAACTCGGGCCGGGAGCTGCGAGGGGTCCTGACCTCTCAAGAGGCTGCAAGACATGCTGCCGCTCGCTTTATGGCGCCGCCGTGGGGGGCCCGCCTGCGCGCGTGTGAGCGCCCTTGGTGCCCTCGCCTGCTAACTTATTGCTGCTGCTGCAAATGATGGTGAGATCTGCTTCTTACCACTGGTCTCGAGAATCTTACGTGAACTCTTCTTCACGGCTGCGAGAGCCCTAGCCCGCCAGTTAGCCGCGATGTTGCAGAGCGGCATGTCCCTGCAACGTAAGCTCTGCCGCGCTCGGTGGACCTCCAACCGCGGCCTTGTGGCGCGAGTGGGTTTGGGCAGCCTCTGGTCTTGGCCATGATGCGTCCATGTGCCTCTCTCGACTCCGGCCACTCAGCCGGCGAATGCGCCGCTGACGGGAAGGATGTGCTGACCGCCCGCGTTGAGAGCTGTGGAAGCGCGCGGATCGGCCCCCGCGCATGCTGCTCCTCGGGCCGATGGACGCCCGAGTTGGCTCGGGCCGAAAACCGCGCGTCAGCCGGAATGACGAGACACGGAGAGGCAGGAGTGCCAGCATTGGAGCGGGGGTGGGGATCGTTGCCAGAGAGTGCTTCTCTCTTGGACGGGGCCTGGGCCTCGCAGAGGGTGGCCCTCGAATCGCCCCCGGACTGAGACGGCGCAGCGGGCTCCTCGCTGTGCTGCCGGCGGAATTCGCGGCAGGAGGCCTCCGACGAGAGACCCAGGGCACACCTGCTCCGCCGAGAAGATCAGTGAACGCATCAGGCAGACAGTTGGGCTCGCCTGCCCATGGAGCGCACTCGCCTTCGCTCCGGGGGCCGTCGGCCGCGGCGTCCTCGCGCGGCGGCGGGCGGGGGACCGGGGGCGCGGGCCCGGGGCGCGGAGGGCCCCCCCGCTCGCCGTGGGCGGCGGGCGGCCAGGGCCGGCGCGCCTCCCCTGCCCCCCCGAGGGCCCGAGCACCTCTCCTGCCAGTGATGGGTGCTTGTTTTTTTTTTGTTCCCTGTTTTGCCGATCGGCGCGGGCCCTCGCACCCCGCCCCCCCCCTCTCCCCTCCCCCCCCCCCCCCCCATGGAGTAGATCCTGGCTGTTTTGGGCGCCTGTGTTCGAGCAGGTGGAGCCTCGCCCATCGGACGCACTCTTCCAACCAGTCGCACTCAGCAGAGGTCCGGAGCCAGACCCCCCCCCCTTTCCGCCCAACGTCGAAACGCCGAACAAGAAGACGCCCACAAAGCCCAGCCTGGTCCTGGAACGCTTGCTCCCTCCGACTACTCAGCACCAGCCTGGCTCCGGCAGACCTGCCGCCGGCTCGCGGGGCTGTCGCGGGGCGGTCGACCCGGTGGGGGGCCTCTCGCCAAGGCGCAGAGCCCGCGTGAGGAGCGGTGCCGCGTGAGGGCCCCGAAGCTGCCGGGCGAGCCCGCTGCGAGGTCGCCAAAAGGGATGTCCCCGGCGAGCGTGCAATGCAGGCGAGCAGGGGGCGGCGGCGGGCGACGAGGGAGCGCGCTCCATATTGGGGAGCTCCCCGGGCACGGATGCACGCGGACTCCACGCGTCGACTAAGTCGGGGCCCGGCGCGGATACCCCCGTCGGGCTTCGTCGACGCGGACTCGCGCTTTTTCGACTATTTCGCGGCCCGACGCTAACCGCGGCCCCGACTTTTTCGACGAAGCCCGTGCGGGCGAGGGTCTGGGCAGGGACATTGGAGTCCCCTGTCGCTATCCAGCGGATCAGCAGAACTGAGACTCGCTGGACTTGCAGCTATCTTGAGCTTGGCCGTCCTGGCCCTGCGAGCTCAGTCTGCAATCTCAGACTTGACAACTTGACAACATGAAATTCGCGCAACTCAGAATATTGAAAGACACCGCGCTAGTGGGGCTCCTGACGTAGCTCCAGGATTCGGCGCCGAGAATGGTGGTGTTGGAGAAGAAAAGGTGCATGATCGCTGCATCGTCGTACCCCGATGCAGCACTTCAGGATCTGAGCTCCTCTTGCCCTTGCCGGTTGAAGGCGGTGGCGACCGAGGCTTGCCGTCATGCCCCTGACGTTCCAGGGGCTGTGGTTAGTCTCATGAAACAGCAGCGCCATTTCCAGCAGCGCCGCGACGCCTGCAGTGCCGCCTCCTTGGTCGCCCTGATGCGCTCGATCTTCGTTGATCGGCGTGTTCTTCGCCTGCCTGGTCTTCTTGTCGGACTTGGCTGGCGCCGCTTCGCCGCTTGCCGAGCCCGCCGATGGACCGCTCGAAGCATGCCCTGGTGTGGCTCCCGTCGTTGGTGGCGGCGCGGCGCCTCATTCGGTGGCTTCTGGGGTTTTCCTCTTCTTTGCCTTCCTGCCGTGGCGTCTCTCATGGCCGTGGCGCGGCCCCTCCAGGCCGGCACCTGGCCCCCGCGCGACGTCATTGGCTCCCCGGCGGCCTTGAGCTCCGAGTCTAGCTTTCGCAGCTCCTTCCGCCGGGTGGTCTCGTACTCGAACTCCCCAGCCTCGATCTGCTGGAACAGCTTTTCGCCCCGCTGGAGGTCCGCGAAGACGGTCTTCACGACTGGGGCCTCGCGGGCAGGCCCGTCCATCGTTGCTCCCGTCTCGGCGGCCATCGCCTTCTCTGCAATCTTCCGCGGGGTCTCAGCAGCAGCAAGGCTGCGCGTTGCTTCGTCTTCTTTTTCTACGCACGAGCCATCTGCTCGCGCGACCTGTTGACGCTGTGCTCGGCTTGGTCGTTGTTGGAGTGGGCGTCCTTCCAGGCTCCTTCAGCTCGTCGTATTGCTTCTCCTAGCGGGATGCCCTGCTAGGGCTTGGTCTGCTGCTGCTTCTCGTGCCCCTGGAGTACCGCGGGCGATGTAGCCCCCAGGACTGGGTCCTAGACGCCTGTGAGCGCCCTGGAGAGCAGGTCCTTGGACCCGAGGCCTTTGGACTGGGACTGGGGCTGCGGCGGCTTTGGCAGCGCCTGATCGAAGCCCTTCGAGGAGTCGCACTCGCCTCGGCCCTTCGGCTTGTGAAGGCGAACGAGCCTCCCACGTTGGCATTTCCTGTCACGGGACTCCAGGGTGTTGTTATAGTCCCGTTCGGCCGCACCTATTGCACTTGGATCCGTTCCAGGAGGCCATAGCTGAAGAACAGTTGACCTCGGCTTTTGTTAAGCGGAAGCGTGAGGTGATTGGAGTGGGAGCAAGGGGTTCACTCTTCGACCCCATGGGCCGCTTACCCGCCAAGCACCTCGTGGCGGCGCCGAGGGTGATGGCCCTGGCCAAGATGGCTCGGGCCACCGTTGCTTGAAAGGGGAGGGCGGTGGGGGGGGAGACAGAGGATGGAGGAGGGCAGGAAAGGAGGAGGGTGGGTGGGTGAGTGCGTGGTTGGTTGGGTGGGTGGGGTGAACGACTGGAGGGGAGGGGCGGGGAACAAGGGGAGACGGGGATAGGGGGGATTGGGGGAGTCGGGGGAGAGGGCGGGGGATGAGGAGGGCGAGGAAGAAGCGGAGAAGGAGGAGGAGGAGGAGGAGGAGGAGGAGGAGGAGGAGGAAGAAGAGTAGGAGGAGGAAGAACAGGAGGAGGAGGAAGAGGAGGAGGAGAACGAGGAGGAGGAGGAGGAGGAGGAGGAGGAGGAGAAGGAAGAGGAGGAAGAGGAAGAGGGGGAGGAGAAGGAGTATGATGATGAGGAGGATAATGAGGAGGAGGAGGACGAGGGAGAGAAGGGGGAGGAGGGGGTGTGGGGGGGAGGATGAGGGGAGTAATGATAGGAAGCAGGGGCGAGGGATGTCTGGATAACGAGGATGTGAGGCAAGAGGACACCGAGGAGGAGCAAAGTGAGGCAAGACGAGAGAGAGATAGATACGGGAGGAATGCGGCGAGGACACGGAATAGGCCATGGGTGGATGAAACGACCACCATCGGATGAGGAGGATGTGGAGGAGGAGGGACATGAGGAGGAAGAAGGAAGCGGAGGATGAAGAAGATGATGATGAAGAGGAACATGACCAATGTAAACTCAAGGCCCATCACATATATTGCAAGTACACCACTTCAAAGTCGCACTGCTTCGCGGGCCCCCCCACCACGTGTCATTTACACTTTGGGAAATGCCCCGTTGGAAGACACCCGTTCGATCATCCTGAGCTGCACCATAACACTATTCCCAGGACTTCAACGCCGCGAATCGCCGTTATTTTTACGTCTTGGCAATCCTGAGCCGTGCCAGAAAAAAAACACACACATCCCTGGGACACCAACGCAGCGAATCAACGTAACTGATGCACCCGGGCAGTCCGACATTGTGCCATAACGCCGTGTCTGGGATGTTGACCATAGCACTTTCCGTTTGAACCTCATAACGAACGTGCGCGTCGCTACGGCGGAAACCTCATTTTGAAGAGGGGCCGCCCCTCATCCGTGGCACGCTCGCATCAAAAGACGAGTGTGCGCAGCGCCAGAGCGAGAGCTGCATGTCGAACACGACCCGCCTTCCATCTGCGAGGCCCTTGCAGATGTTTAACACGAGTGAGCGCGGTGCCAAGGCGATACCTACACTTTGAAAACGGCCCGCCCTCCATCCGTGACGGATGTGCGCGGCGCTAAGGCGAGATCCAGATTTTTACAACGACCCGCCCTCCATCCGTGAAGTTCTTGCACATTTAGACAAATTACGCGGCGCTAAAGCGAGAGCCAGATTTTGACTTCGACCCGCCCTCCATCCGTGATGCTACGTTTTTTTTGCTTGAGGAATCATATGTTGTGAGGAGATCTCAGGCGGAACGCCCTGCCCGCCCTACCGACACGCCTCGGGTTGCGACATGGAGGAGGCATTGATAAGGAAACAGGGATGGAGAAGGAAGAGGAGGAGGAGGAGGAGGATTAGGAGGAGGAGAAGGAGGAGGAGGAGGAGGAGGAGGAGGAGGAGGATGAGGAGGAGGAGGAGGAGGAGAACTCGTTTCGATGTGTGTGTTGACTCTTGTTGGGCTTCGGGAAGCCTTCGGAGGCCCTGGGAGGCAGTAGGAGAGGTGTCCGCGAGTTTCCCGCAGGTTGGCGAGGAGAGGGGCAGCGGGGAGGGGAGGAGAATGATGGAGGAGCGGGAGGAGACTGGCGAAGGCTTGGTTGCGATCGGCCGTGGAGCACCCGTCGCGTCGGGGATTCTCTTGCATCCGAGGCGACGTTCCGCCTCGACCTGGGCAAGGCCTCTGGAGGACTGAACGCGTGTGTCGCTTTCGCAGTGCTTACCTTACTTTTTGTTATTTCCATTTCTCCGACGCCTCCCTCTCCAGCGATTGTAAAGCCTGTCTGCAAGCACATGTGTCGTGTCCGTTGCGCTGTTCGATTCAGTAAACCGCACGCGTGCGCGACGGACTCTGTGCCCACACAGTTGGCACTGGATTTGTCGTCGGCCCGTACGAGCTTCATGGCCGCCAGTTGGCCGAGCCATCTCCGGCGAGGGGCCACAGGGGTGGACAGGAGAACGCCTGTAGGGGAAAGGAGGAGGAGAATGCGAAGTATGAGGGGAGGGAGGGAGGGAGGGATCGAGGGAGGGATGGAGGGAAGGATAAGCAGGGGGACGGGAACAGGTGAAGGAGGATCGCAGCAGAAGCCAGTGGGAGGCGACAGGTTTTAGGAAGGAAGAAGGGAGGGCTTCTGCTTGACTGACGCTCTCTGGGTCTTGGGGTGACACCAGCGCTAAAGCATGAAGCGCAAGATGTGGTGCGCGCGGAGAGAAAGGAGTACTGGGAGCCTCTGCGTGATCAGACGACGAGAAGGAACGACGCCACCCATCGAGGGGGTTCCTACCAGACACTCGCCCCCTAGAAACGGCACGAGAGCCAGTGCATAGGAGTGGTTTTAGGCGAAACACAGGGTACTAGATCCAGAAAAAGGAGGGTATTATGTGAGGGGTGGGGAGGAATGGTTGGCGGGAATGCGATCGAGAGTAGAAGTTCTGGGTTCTACAACAGGAGTGTGTAGGAATGAGCGAACTTATTCAGCTCGAGGTGAGTTGTCAGATCGGTTTTGCGAGCAGCCAGCCAACAAGGTCGCCCGCTAGTACCTGCTTGGTGGTACCTGAACGGGGGATAGCCGGACTTCATTGCCGGAACAGCAGGGGAGTCTAACCAAGGTTTTGTGTACTAGCTATGTCAGGTATCGGAGCCAGCCGTACTCGTGGGTAGGCTCAGGACAGGTGGGACTCGTTTCACCTTGGTTGGTTACGAGGCAGAACAAGTGACAGGTACTAGTAGGCAACACAGAGGGAGGTCGTTAACGTGACTTTCCACAGGGGTGTGAGAAATGGACAACCCTGCAACTCGCATGCGGCCCCGCACCGGCAAGATTTTTAGGTCCACGGCGATGACAGACGGCACTCTTCGACTAACAAGACGCTGCATGCTCATAATTTCTCGGAGATCTGCGCAGACCTCCGCAGCGTAGGTTTATGTTTTTTTTTTGTTTTTTTTTTTTTGTTTTTTTTTTTTTTTTTTTTTTTTTTTTTTTTTTTTTTTTTTTTTTTTTTTTTTTTTTTTTTGTTTTTTTTGTTTTTTTTTGTTTTTTTGTTTCTCCTCCCGCGACTTCTCCTCCTGCGGTGCGTGCACGCTTGTGCTTTCCAGGGGTGCGTCTGCCGAGTCCGAGCCGCTGCTCTCCCGCGGCGGTTTGCGACGGTCTTCTTGGCCCCTGTTCCTGCGCTCTCCCGGCGGGGGTGGGGGAGGCTGAACGAGGCACCCCGCAATTGCGGACAAGAATGAGGCGGCGGGCGCCCAGTTGATCGCGGGTGGGTCGATGGTGTGTTGCGGGGTTTGGTCGTGGGTGGGTCGCGGGTGGGTCGTGGGGTGGGGGGGGACGACGACATCGAGCAACAACAACAAGCATCAACAACCATCAGCAACAACAAACAACAACATCAGACAAGCCGACCCTGGGACATGGAATTCCACTTCACCCGCGCACCCAGGGATGTTGTAAGAACCTTCGGACCCCTTTCCCTGACTGATGAAATTGGATTCCGCACCGATTTCGCCAACATCGCGCTTCAGTCCATGAAGGAACTTCGCCCTGCCACAAGCAAGGGGATCCCACGTCTGGAAAGCTCGGGCCCCCGCCTTCGCCAGTTAGCATGTCGGACGTACGCAGGATCGCTGTCAAGTGACACGTGTCGGGCCAACGGAGCTGCTCCAGGCACGTGCTGGGACGACAGCGTGCAGCTCGGAGGGGCACATCTACGCAACTGGCACTGGGCAGCCCGGTGGCTGATGAAGACACGGATGACCTAGGCTGTCGGGTGCGACACTGCATGCCGATGAGGCCGTGCACGATCGAGACGCTCGGGTGACCTAGCTGCTGATGAAGGCAAGCGGGAGCCAGCAAAACAGGCTCAGGCTTACAGATCCAGCGGCCGATGAGTCCACGAGAAGAACGCCATGATCACTCGCTCCCTGCCGTCGGTAAACATGGATGACAAATCATATTCGCAACAGTTAACGCACTCCTTCCGCACCACCACTCTGCCGCCCGTTGCCTTCACTTCGTTGCACTGCCATGACTTGCGTGTTACCTGAAGCTGTTTGGCTCTAGGGAAACAGGAAAAAAGAGCGAGTCTGCGGCGCGCGCGCGCGTGCGTCAGCCGGCGGGCCGGCATCCTCCCTTCAGGGTTACCGTATTGCTAGCTGAACGTCATTATTCCCATCTTCCCATGTCATCCGCGAAGCCCACGGAACATGATATATCATCGGAACATCTTGCATATATCATGAGCATTCAGGCAAAAGACCGGTTATCAGCCGAAACGGTGGCACAGCCGTTAGCTTCGCAGGGCATGGGATCACGGGAAGGAGACTTCGGAAGAAAAGAAGAACGCTGTCGTTCTGGGCATGTTTATGATGCAGGCGCCTCTATGAGACGACCTAGTTCTCTCCGCCTCCCAGAAACGCAAGCGTTGAAAACTGTGTTCGATTTAACAGAGGGAGACTCCCGTGTTGATTCGATGACAGCGATAAGGGAACCATCCCCGAGCGGGACGTATGGCACAGCCAAAACTTCCGCCGGGGGGCCATCTGATCTCGTACTGGCGCACCCGAGTTCTCAACCATCGATTGATTTAGACCATGAGATGGAGAAACTGCTTGAACGAGTACCCAGAGAAACGTTCGATCAACGTAGCTGTAGCACGGGAAAACAGCACAATTTGAGATTCATGGTCAGGGCGAGGAAGAGAGCGATCTACCATCTGAAAGGGACAGCTCGCATTCAGTTGAGAGGAATGAAGAGTATGCTCAATTTCGTACCTCGCCCAGTCCATGTCGTCACCATACTCCCCTCACTGATGGGTCCGACGAGCTCGCCCCAGGCGCAGACCTGTCTGATAACGAGACAGTTGACTATGCTACGGTCGATGCGCTCCAGCAGATTATTCTGGATTCGTATGATGATGCTGCAGATGGAAGAAGCCCAGATCAAGGCAAGAGTTCGTCGGCTCAGCCGATGCTGAGCGCGCCCGAAGGTTTGGGCGCGGTCAGGCATACAAGAGAGCCTACGGGTACAACTCCACTTCCACAGATAAAGAAGCTTAAGAATGAGGGTGACGACCTAAATGCTCCCCCTTTGTCAGAAGACTTTCACCAAACAGACTTCACGTTGACGAGGTCTAGCAGAGACAGGGTACCAGAACTTGATGAGCTGGTAATGCAGGTCGAAGAAGACGAGTTGGCCAACAACAGGATATCGATTTCATCAATAAGGGTGTAAGACCAAGGGAACAGCACGCTCCTGCCTCCAGCAGGGGGCACAGGGGGGCCCCCCAGGGCCGGGCGCTCCAGCTCCAGAGGATTCAATGCCCTCGGTTATCGTCAAATAGGACCACCAGTAGCTTCTCGATAAGGGATAGTTGTTGGAATGCCCGACTTCGGTACCCGCCTCAGGCGGAGTACCGATGTCCGGGGGGGGCGTGCAAACCGGGGGGGCCGTGTCTCAGGCCAGTGTGCTCGCGCTGTTCGAATGTATGTCCCAAGTTTAGTGTTGCGTGGCTCTGCGGAGAATGCGCAACTAAGAGCTGCGAGTGCGCGTATGCAGCAAGTTTTCCTCGAGGTACAAGTGGATGTGGGAGCCGCTGCAGAGGCCGATCGGATGCTCGCGTAATCTGAGGCAGGGGCAGGCAATAGCGCAGAAGGTCGAACAAGAGGGAACGGTCATTGCGGAAGATGCGAAAAGACGGTGAACAGCAAGCCGATGCTAGTGTAGCAGGAATTACGGACGTGGCCCAGCGGCGTCTTGCGCAAGAGGAGAACGAGAAAAGAGCGATTCAACATATGGCTGAACAAATGGTGTCAGCTCCTTATGAACAGACTGAGAAAGAGAAGGCCGAACGCAGAGAAATGGCCGACGCTGCCAGGGGGGGCGGAGAGAAAGAGGCTCGAGAACAAGCAGCACGTGCAAAAGAGGGGCCCCGTAATCTATTCGAAACTGTTGGGCTCGGGGCCGAAAAGGTGAACTCGGAAGCCCTGCGAGCCCTTCGAGAGCATGAGCAGAAGGCGCAGGCAATCAGGAGTGCGGACCAGAGGAAAATGGCCGTTGCCTGGGGCCATCTGAAAGGGAAAGCAGACGGGCAAATGAAAAACAACGCTCTTGCCGCTCGTGCAGTGAGCGAAGAGAACAGGAGGTTGATATCTGACCTGGGACAACAACGGAAAGAAAGGGAGTCGCTGGAATGGGCTCGGACAACCGGGCCACGCGCGACAGCAGATCTGACAGAAGCTGAGTTTGCGCCCGCGGCTTCGACGGCAGATGCGGGCTCAACTGAGAGGCTTGGATCGACGCCGGCACAGCCGATGCATGTGGAGCCATCTCCGAGCCCGACTGTTGTTCGCAAGCAGGCTCAGACTCGCGCAGGCAGCGTAGGTCAGTATTGTCGCGTTTGTTCAGAGCCTGTCGTTGAGATTTGCGCGGGGTGTTCGAAGCCCGTGTGCAGGGTTCACCTGGGCGCGATTATTAAAAAAGTGCACGGAGTGTGCCTGGGACAAACAGCTCGGGCGACAAGGCGATCTCGAGAGAGGGGGGGGGGCCATTCGGCGCGCATGGACCTCCCCGTGACAATGGCGACCCCGAAAAGTCGGCACCGGGTCATTCGGATGTGCCGAAAGACGATAGATCGGAACGAAGAGTAAGTAATCTCGCCGATATGATGGGTATGCCGATATTTAAATCGACCAGA